TGAATGCTCCTATCTCCGACACTTCACACAAAAAAATAACTCTTGCACGCCTTGCGTGCCTATGTTTATATATCGACGGCGTGTTAGGAACGGCTAATATGTTTCGGCGCGTGTTGATCCACGAGCTAGTTTACATGTAATTGTGAGTTGTTCCATGAAAATCTTGAACAAACGTGAAGTTAAAGCGCTCGTTTGCCGGTGTGACACCGAGATCAGCATACATTTATTTACTTGCCGAACACCACAAAAGAATTAAATATGCCGAACTAAAACTGAGGGAGATGCTTCCCGCGTGCTTCTTTGTTCAAGCACAAACAAGCTGGGAATAGGGTAACCTTTTCGACCCTTCATTTGAAGAATAATATATATCCGCATAATTGTTTATTATCTTCTAGGATGCTACTGGGATAATTACCACATATTCATATAACTTTTGATGCAGGTAGAATCTCGAAGATAGAATTTAATACTTTACTTATGGCACTCAAAATGTCGAAAAATCGAACTGAGTACGACACCCGTGGTGTCATTCTTGCAATGGGAACGGTTGCAGTGTGGCAGATGTGTCATCGTTCGCGTCATTGTGCGCCTCTGAATCAGGTATTTACAATCACCCAGGATAAGACATTGTTGCCTTTATTTTTCAATGAAACATTTGCAATCGTTCGACAAGAGGGGGCGCGTGTATTATGATTAGCTATTAGGAAAAACTGATTCTATAGCGTCAAGAGCCGGCCGAGATAAACAGGAATTTTGGTTTCAACGGAGCTTTACTTTACGACCTTTACATCCTGACAATTTTATTGTGGGAGTCATTAACTACTTTGTCTCATATTTTCTAATAAAGTAATACTACCTCAGGCAAATAAATATTCCTGATTTACTAATTTCGACTGTTATTTCATTGCATCCTGCCTTTACCTGACTGGCAACAGTTTCCAGCAGTTGGCAGCGGTTATACTTTAACGGATAAATTCTACCACTCAATATCAAGCAGCATTAATATTGGTAACACACAAATATCCAATTATAAGTAAACAAGAACCATAGCATAATAAATGACTATAGAAACATTATGACCTGTTACAACCCCAAGAGTGAGCCCAGGACCCCCCATATTTTATAATTCAATTATGATAAGCATGTTCAGATAAAACTTCTTGAAAAGTTTCACAACTTCTAAGGGGAGGGGGAGGGTTCAGACCAATCACAAGCTTTCGACAATTTAAGGTGGATCTGAACCCCCTCCACATAAGCAGTCCGGTGGTATGCCAGTTTTGGAAGAAACGAGAACAATGGATCACGTCTCGAACCATAACATGATCACCATGGCGATGAGCATTTTCAAAACATTAAAAATGGCGGCCGAACATGGGAGAATATCGGGGTAAAAGTATTCGCTTTAATTTGGCTTTCCTTTCGACTGTTCTATGCCTAATTATAGGAAAAGTCGCTATATACGGATAATAACCATTCTTGTGCTAGAATATTGAGCGCAACATGCACCTAGTGCTCATAGCGCTAGCAATGTCGATGATACTGGTATAAAACCAAGGTTCATTCTCCACGCGAAGGTCACGCCGAAGATCTGCCAAGTTTACGCCAAGATGTTAAAGTATTGTATCAAAAAAAGTAAAGACCCACGTGGAAGATCTTTTACGTAGCTTGCACGGAATGCAGCCTGGCTATGTAACCTCGAACTTCAAACAGGTATTAGGGAACAGTTTTTCAAGTCTTCGCCAGTTTATTCCATGTTTAGTGAAATACGTAAGAGTTCCTGTGTTTGCAGTAATTTTTGTCTCGTAAATATTCGGTTTTGTTTAGCTTGGTCGAATATTTTAAAGTCAATTGTGATGTAGTCTTTCCTAAAATCCTCAAAGACTGCAAAACCAACGCGATGTAGTCTTAGATTGTTGTAGTTTTCCTTTCGGATTCTTTGGGTCTTATAGATGAACACTGAAAAAAGCTTTCATTTCCTGAATAAATCAGTGATTTCGTTTTAAATGTGTCACTGTTTGCTAATAATAACAATAATCCAACAAAAGTCTAACTACTGTTTTGTCGCTGTCAGATACCAATTAAATGTTACTTACTTTTATCAGTGCAAAACTCAACATTTTTCTAAATTCCTTGGGCAAAAAATAAAATACTTGAGAACTTGGTCACACTCTACATCAGAAGATGTTTTGGAATAGTGTTAAAGGCTTCGACGCATGGCTAGCCTGTGTATATATTAGTAGAACTGTCATAATCTAGTCACGTGCGGAGTCATGTTATCGGTAACCGGATATCCATGTTGTGTAATGTAGGATTTCAATTCATTCTTCTTCGTGATTATTAAAGCATGTAGATCTACAATTCGCTTTACCCTGATTTATTACAAGAACCAAGAACAGTAGTCTGCTTGTGACGTATCAAATGTGTCCCCAGCAGTCAGTTACCTAATTTTCCTTAAAGTACAATTATTAAAAGTATAATTATCTCGGAGTATTGTTTTTGTTTGCATCTTAAGGCCTGTCCAAACAGGAAATGTTTGGCGACCAAACACCATCAAACATTGTTTGGTGACCAAACATTTTACCGTTTGGCCAACCCGTTTGGTGCTGTTTGATCGTGTTTGAAAAAATTTGAAGGCCATCAAACATTCGATCAAACAACTTAAAACATTTCTTTTGTTCTCGTGTTTGATGGYCGATGTTTTGTTCGTTTGGACAGCCGTATCAAACATGTTTGGCGCGCGCATGCGTCCCACGCTTGCTCAGTGGCTTGTATCCATAGTTTGATCTGTGTTTGATCAAACATGTTTTAACCGTTTGGCCACTCACCTCAACATCAGCATGTTTGATCACCAAACATTTCCCGTTTGGACAGGCCTTTAAAGCTTAAGTTGAAAAGGGGTTTGCGAAAAGATACACGGAAAGTTTGGACTCTGGGACTATTCCTCGAAGGACATTTCTCTCCTCTTTCTTCACAAAATGCTAATTGCAAAGGTTTTCCAAAATTCGCCTCGGCTGGTTTAGAGTGAGTGTTTCCTTCCTTTATTTTGTTTGACTTCTCAAACAAATTCAGTGTGATGCCTCGCATTGTTGTGAATGCATACTCTGCTTTTAATCTGGGGCAGTGCTGATCATGAAATGTGACAGTGCTAGATCTAGTAGCTGTGGTAGTCTCTTTAGACTGCTTACCTGTACAAGTTGTAATATTTCAACCCCATCAAATATTCAAAGAAGACAAATGAGATTGAGAAAAAAATGTAAACTACTGTTTATTGAAAGTTCAACATACAATATCATTATTATTTTGATTTTTTAGCACCCTCTTGAACCTGTAAACAAAAAAGACAACAGAATTAAGATAACAGTATCTGTTACCAATAGATATGGCAACTTAAACAATTAGTGCATTGATCACAACACTTATTTCATTTGACCAAGTCCGGCAAACGGCAACAACTCTTTAACACTTATTAATGGTTGTCCATATTATGGATGGACATCCTAATAAATAAGAAACAAGGAATAAAATAATCATTGACGCACGGGGTCATACACCATGTAGAAATGTGCATGATACGTGTGCCCCTTATCAAATGTACACTACAGTCAAATTCCAGCCTTCTCACGCCGATAAAAAAAAATCATTTTATAAATCAGCTTACATAATTCACCTTCTAAACAAGACTAACGAAATATAGTGTAAAAACGAAAAAAAGACTCGAAGTACTCGCGATACATTGCATTGTATGTAAACTTCCAGGCCAGTCGTTTTCCTGTCAGAAACCTTTTCTTATTACGGTTATTTTCAATACGTGGTTGCCATTTTTACAAGGTTGTTGCCGCCGATGAAACTTTGGCGACACAACTCACATATTGTAGTTTCGAGGAAAATTAGTCCCGATATCAAAAAAATTCGGCAAGCTACTGAAATAAAAACATGAAAACATGTACTTACATTCGATGCCCGTCAAAATGGCGGTGTCTTCTTCGAAGGCCGTTCCAAAATGACACGGATTTTATCGATTCCCTTTGCCAAACGTTCACAACTCTCACACAAGGAACGTTCGAGAGCGAAGGCTTGTAATGAGACTTTGAAAGTCCCAGATATTGAACGATAGAACTAAGAACCAAGCTTTTCTAAGAGCCCATATTTTTTTCGCGATTATTTTTTGCGATTTTGGCGAAACAATAGAATCGTGACGTCATCGCTTCTTCCAAAACTGGTATACTACCGGACTGATAGGTGTTTTAAACTTTGCCAAGTGTTTACCCCCTTATCATGCTAATTACAATTCGAGGATAATTGTTGAAGTTATCGAGCTTCTAATTCAGGATATCCAGGAAAACCTAGCTAATTTTGTTTACGGTACGTATAGATAAAAGGACTGTATCATTCCCCATCCTGATAAGAATGTCGGTATTAGTGCTGGTAGTAATTTAATTGCGTGAAGGAGCCATTTCAGCTGCCTGACATATGTTTCACGTTACGCTTAAAAAAGAGACAATAAAAGAACAGATGATTATTTCTTGAAATTATACTTTTACTAAATTATCAACATTATTACAATTATCAATATTATTTTCCTTGCACGTTACTTCGTTGTTTTGCAAAATAAACATACCCTGTTTACTTTTGTTTACTCAGTGGGATATAATGATTTGCAGATCAAAATCTGTCTTGGTGAACCAATGGTAGATATTTCTGTAACACTAGAGCCATCATACCCCACCAGTCATAGAATCAATAAAATCAACTTGGTTATTTATCGATTCAGTAAGAGAGCTGTTTTTACCACGGTGCTGAGTTCGGTCTTTGAGTTCAGTGCATCCTTATCAGGAATTAAGTTCGGGCTTGCACTTTCGAATGTAGAACGCCTCAAATGATCGCAAGTTGACAAGATCGTTTTCTCGTGCGATTTATTCTTGTTTTGCACTGCTTGATTTATAAAGAAATGATCTCTCAAAGTTTTAAGGTAAGCAATAGACCACTCGTGACGACGTGATTATTTTCTAGATTTTTCTTTTGTGCAAACTATAGGTGTCCGTTTTGAGAAGACTTACCTTGTAACCGTGGGCATCGACTTCGGGACAACGTATAGTGGATTTGCTTTCTCATTCAACAAGGAACAAGGTGATGACTCGATTTTTATGAACAGAGACTGGTTGAACGAACAAGGCCATCGAACAAGCAAGACACCCACATGCCTGCTACTTAAACCAGACCGGTCATTCGACTCGTTTGGATACAAAGCGGTGGAGAAGTATGCAAATCTGAGGAGCGTTTATGAAGAGAAAGAGTTCTTGTTTTTCCAGCATTTCAAGATGTCATTGCATAACGAAGAGGTAAGACGACTTATTTAATATCACTGGAGATGACAATATGTCTTAAATGGCTAGGCTGTAGAAATTTATGCAAAGAATTTGTATATAAATTATGCTAATTGTTTGGTGTCATTGCTGAAGTGTCATTTCACTGAGTTATTGAACATTTGTATATATGGAAAATCTAATATTTATCACCTTTACGTTTTGAGTATTCATCGACGTTATTCCTTTAAATCCTATGTGCCATGGCAAGGCTGATCTAGAAACGAATACATAGACGGCAACTTCACGTTATAGCACATAACTAACTATAATACTTTTTATTTCATTAACGACAAAAGAACATAGACTTGAGAGCCGTCCTTTATGACGTCAATGGAAAACGTGCTGAGGCCAAGACAGTGTTTGCACACTCCATCAGGTTTCTAATGGACGAGGCAGTTAATTTCATTCGCCTCGAAACGAGAGATGATGGATTTAAAGCGGATGATATCCAGTGGGTTTTAACTGTTCCCGCCATATGGACTCCAGGAGCAAAGCAATTCATGAGAGAAGCAGCTTACGAAGTAAAGTAGCAGCACTATTTGTACAAGTCATGTGTTGTTCAATTGAGGCGCAAATGTGTTCCACTGAACTTGAAATGAATAGGGGGAGTAAACTCACTGACCTGTGCCGGGAGCTGGTTTCTGTAGCATGAAATGAATGAAGTATTGGTATATGGGCTCGCCTTGGACAGAACAGAATGCCAGTCCATCCTGAGTTCCAAGGCATTTTGTCAGATTGCCATTAGACCTTCTGAGTGGCCTTATGAGAGTATAAGAAGTTTTGCCCAAGAACACAGTTCACAGTGACCTATAAAGGGCACGGTCCGGGCCGCTCGGCTCAGACCCCTTTGTTTTCTTCATTACTTTTGGCCTCCAATATCATCTTTACTATCGTCATTAAACTTATGGCGAACAATACGCATAACCTATCTGCCTTTTCTTTCCGTTTTACGTAGTGTCTATGTTCTGTCTATGTTAAATGAAAAACATAGAGTTCGTGGGTTAATAGATTAGTTGGTGATGAGCCCGAACGTGGAAACAATTAATTTGAAATTGATTTGCTTTGATCAGTTAAACCTGTCTTGAAGTTTTTGAAGTCCTTACAGGATGAGAATTGGGAGTGGCAATTTTACCGTGGATTCTCGAGAGTAACAACCCTCTTTTTTTTGCAAACTTGCTAATGAAAAATTCATCTNATTGCAAGTTCTACCCAGCATTTCGCAAGGTTTAATTTTCCTTACAATTTCCTGGTGCCAACTTCTTACATCTCTGTACAGAAACGGAGAGTGGGAATGATCGCGGGCCTAAGGGCTCGAACCAGGACAACTCGACCAGGGGTCTAAGGGGAAACCATCAGGCCAGAGGTCCTTCCAAATCATGATTAGATATTGAGTTGTCTTTCTTTGTTGATAATGCTGATAGAGCTTGAACTTGGACACAAAGATTCCAGCGGCCAATGGAAAACTTCTTCAGGCCAAATCAGTGTTTGCACATTCCATCAAGTTTCTTAAAGACGAAGCCGTCAAAGTAATTCAGCAAGAGACTGGAGATGATGGATATAATGTGCATGATATCCAGTGGGTTTTAACTGTTCCCGCCATATGGACCCCAAGAGCTAAACAGTTTATGAGAGAAGCAGCTTATGAGGTATGTAGATATTAAGAACTAGATTAAAGGTTTTAAAAAAGTTCAAGTTTCGAGAGGAGCGACAGCCCGAAAGAGACGATAAATCACAATAATGGTAGCCTGAGTTAGCTCTCCCTTCACACCCATCTTAGAGTTCTTTGGAGTGGCAATCTCAAAAAAAATAACAACCCTGATAGCATCGATGTCAAGATTGACAATTTGATTCTCTAAAGCCGCATAACATTTAGCGAGCGTAGTTTCTTATCTTTTTAAAGGTAAAGCTGTTGTCAGGGGTTGTTGTTGTCGATTCCATTTTGAATTAGTATAAATCTACCAGCGTTCTATTAATGCCGTTCTCTGGGGCTTTCCACAAGTTGCTCGAGATTTCCCCAAAAGGTGCCTGCAATTTCTCAGAAAAGTGCTCAAAAAAAGTCAAAAGTTGCTTAAAAAGCAAAACAACAACAAATTTGTCGCTTTCTTCCTGTATTTGGTCTGATGAAAAAATATCCCAATTGTACAACAATAGTGAGCTTACTAGGTAATTTTTGTGCAATTTTGCGGCGTAAACCGCACTGCTAAATAACTTTGTCCTTGATTAAAACGGAAAAATACATGAGTAGACTACGCATCAATATTAAGAATTAACCTTGTAAAAATTCTTAAAAGTTGCAAGAAACGAAAAAAGTTGCTCGAAACACGAGAGGTTGTCAAAAAGTTGCCGAGCAACTTTTGTAAAGCCCCATCGCTCTCTGATTGGTTACGCTACTCGCTATCCATTCTGTTGTAGAGTGCGATTGTTATCAAAATGGCGGCCGCTTCATTCCGTTTTGGAAGTGCCCGTGAAGAGGATTTAAATAAATTTTTGAACGACTGGTGGATTTATACTAAAACAATTAGATTATTCGCTCTCGATTTCTACGCTACGCCCTCGTTAACTGTCACGCGATAGAAATCTCGAGCTCAAAATATAATGTGTTAAGTCTGTGTATGTCATACGCACTTTGAATATACTGGATTTAAACGGTACAACAGGGTGCTGAACACCTGTGTAATGTAAACATACGATACATGGAACGGAATCGTAATGGACTCTCTTTACTCGTTTATATGCTCTGTTGGTTTGTACAGGCTGGGATTGGATCACGTGACAGTCCGGAGCAGCTATTGATTGCTTTAGAACCAGAAGCAGCCTCACTGTTCTGCACAGCAAAGAAACTGAATCAGCCGGGCTCTGTTCCCGTGGAAGCAGGACTGTCTCAGCCAAATACACACTATATGATTGTCGACATTGGAGGTAAATGCGTTGTGCACGTTTCTGTGGCAACTACAGTTTGTGTTTCCAAAGTTGTTAAATAACCCGACCCAGGAGAAAGCGCGGTCTGCGACTGCTGCCCGAAATCTCTTGAGCTGGTGCAGTCCCGGTGTTTACTAACAGTCCGATACAGGGAGAATTGCGAATCCGAATATGTTACAGAATCACAGTCCGACATAGACCGGTACAGATCCTGAAGGCTACTTGACCAGAATTGAGAAGGGAAAGAGGGTTAAACAGAATTTCGCGCCTAGAATAGGAATGTTGGATCATGCTTCTCTCGTTTTGTACTCACATTTGAGTCAACAAATGACTGAAAAATGGTCCATAAGAAATTTTGCAGAGTATTTAAAACTAAAATAATCATTACAATTTTTGTCCGATTCAACTATAGCTCGATGGGCACGAAAACGGCCTGACTGAATGGTGAGCAAGTCCTCCAACAAACATGTACGCTCCCCTGTTAACCAGTTTTACCTATGTTTTTTCATCTATATGAGGTCTACCGCTTATTTTTGTCCATGGTTGTGATTGGTCATGAGTCATATCGCTTCTGGACGTTCTGCGAGCGATGCCGCGCACTTTGACTGATAAATCAGTTTTTTTGGACAAAAATACTTCAATCTAGAATTGATTCTGACAAAACAAAATGTCGTTTTTAGGTGGTACGCTAGACGTAACGGTACATGAAAAGCAAGATGATGGTACCATAAAGGAAATTTACAAAGTAACCGGCGGGCCTTATGGTGGCATGAAGGTGAATCATCAGTTCGAGGGTCTCTTGAACCAAGTTTTTGGCGATCAGAAGCTCTATGATTACCGCGGACAGTTCCCCTCTGATTGGCTTAAACTGATGAATGATTTCGAAGCAAAGAAACGAGGCGTCCGGGCCATTCAAAACAAAGAAACAAGAATTCGCTTGCCACGTAGTTTTGTCTCCTGGATCAACGATTATTTAACAGCGGCGTTGAGGCGCCATGGAGCTGGCGAAGTCAAAATACTCCACGATGAGTATCTGTGCTTGAGTTCCAGAGTTATGGTGAAGCTTTTTGAGCCTGTTTTGGAAGCAATGAAAGACCATTTGAAAGAACTTCTCGGTAAGCCACAGCTTTCAAAAGTCAAAGTGATGCTACTGGTTGGAGGATTCGCCAATTCTCTTCTTCTCCAGGATGAAATCAAGAGAGTGTTTTCCACACGGTGTCGTGTGGTGGTGCCTCCTGATGCCAGTATAGCCGTTGTCCAGGGTGCTGTTCTATTCGGCAAAAGGCCAGAGACGATAACCCAAAGAGTCCTCAGCAAGACTTATGGTGCTGACTGCTGTCGAGATTTCATCAAGGGAGTTCATCCGGAAGGAAAGAAGTTCGTGGCAAATGGAAAGGAGCTGTGCAGTGATGTGTTCAACAGCTTTGTGAAAGAAAATGAAGTCGTTAAACTGGGACAGAGGATTACAAGTATGTATCGACCACTGTACCCAGACGAAAAGCAAATTAAATATTCCTTCTACGCTGCGAGCAATCCCAGTGCAGTGCTGGTCACCGAGACTGGTGTCAAGAGGATTGGAAGTGTTGTGGTGCAATCTCCTGAAACTTGGCGAGGCCTGAATAGAGAATTAGAAGTCAGCATGTATTTTGGTGGAACAGAAATAACAGCCACTGCCAGAGATATTTCAAGTGGAAACACAGCAAAAACAACTCTTGACTTCTTCCACGTTAAGTAACAATGATCTGATTGTCACCTATAACTTGGTGTAAGTTTAACTAATATCACAAATTTATTGCGCGACTAATTTTATTGTAGAGATAGCTTTTAAACGCTAACTAAAATTTAGTTATTTCGAACAAGGTGGCATTAAAAATTTTCACGTTTCATCATACAGTAGTATGAAAGAAACATACAAATCTTATTATAGAGATCACGACTCGAACGAATAAGAGTCACCATACTACTACGTTGGTAAGATCATTCAAAGAGATTCGATATTTAC